CCGCCGCCGCTGCTGCCCGCGGCTGCATTCGGCCCGGCCGGAGCGAGCGGAGCCCGCAGCAGCAGCAGCAGCAGCAGCAGCAGCCCGGGCCGCCCCGCCATGAGGCCGCTGGCGGGAGGCGAGTGCCTGCTCGTCCTCCTGGCCCTCACGGAGGCCCGCGTCTGTGAGTACTGCGCTCCCGCGCCCCAAGGGGAAAGAAGGGGGGGTGGGGTGGGCCCAGCGCCCCCCCCGGGCCGCCCCACGGACGGGAAAGCTCCGCTTCCTGCCCCCGGGGCGAGGGCCGCTGGGGGCTGTAGGGGCACACACAGGCAGGGATATAGACACGCACAGAGACGGGCACGGGGACACACACACGGAGACAGGGACACACACAAGCATACACAAGGGCACACATGGACATGGGACACACACAGGGAGGGGGACACGCATAGAGATAGGGACACACACAGGGATGCACAGTCAGAGACAGACAGACAGGGACAGACACATGGACACAAGGACCACACACTGACACACACACAGATGTGGGACACACAGGGAGGGACACACACAGAGACAGGACTCACAGACACACATGCACAGGGATACACAGTCACAGACACAGCCAGGACACACACATGGACACAGGGACACACACAGACAGGACACACATGGACATGGACACATGCGTAGAGACAGGGATGCACACAGACACACACAGGGATACACAATCACAGACAGACACACAGGGACACATACATGGACATAGGGACACACTGACACACAGACAGGATACACACATGGACACAGGGACACACAGGCAGGAACACACACGGACACACACAGACACAGGGACACACACATGGACACTCTGCTATCGGGGAAACTACTGGGCATACCTCAGTTGATTTTGGGGGCCAGCTGTAGAGAAACCAGGGGCGTGAGGGCACAGGCTTCAAGCACAGAGCAGGGCACACCAGGCAGCACCCACTGGCCCTTGAATGAGTCCAGGGAGCCCATGGGTGCTGCCCAGTGAAGCTCTGTCCAGAGGTGTGGGTGCACAAGGGACATGAATGCAGCCCTGCCGTCCCCAGGAGTCCTCCCAGCCAGAGCCTTCTTTCTGGTCAGGTATGCTGCCAGCTTCGCTTGGGCCACTGAGTGACACAGGAGTCTGGGGCTGGGGCCACTGTGTGACACACTACACTGGGCAAGGTTGACCTGTGGTCTGATGCAGTCAACAGCAGTTCTTATGTTCTTATTTTTCTGTGGTCTGAAAAGGGGTAGGAACTGAGAGTTGGCATTTTCTGAGGGGTGCATTGAGCCTATCAAAATGTGTCTCAGATTTCTGGAGGGATGCCTTGATTCCACACAGGTTGAGAACCACTGGTTTAACTGCTAAAACATGCTCTCCTGGCACTAGAACCGCCTTTACAGCGCAGGTCGCTGAGCTTCACCCCTTGCTCAAGATCGGGAGTCTGAAGGATAACGTGGCTTGTGACCAAAGAATTGCAAATGGCAACATGCAAGTGCTTTAATGTATTTTTTTTGTTCCAAATTCTTCGCAACAGAAGAATCACTCTGTTCTTTTTCTGTAGTCCAAAAAAGGAGCAAGAATGGAGGGAAGGTCTTTTCTGAGAGGTGCCCTGAGTCTATCAAAGGGGGCCTCAACTCTGTAGAGGGCTGCCTTGAATCTAAATAGTTTGGGGACCATAAAAAAACCCCAAAACAAAAACAAAACTATATAAAAGCACTTGGATGTTGGTGCTTCAGATTTACTACTCATTTATTTTCTTCATTTGAGCAATTATTGTCTGAGGGTTGACTGAACTGCACCAGTCCAAAGCTGCATACTCAGGTGATGCTTTCCAGCTGGGTAGGATCATGACTGCTAATCTGGTTGCAGACATAAAGTGAGATGAGGGGAGATGAAAAGATGTGCCTGGTATCCACACAGCTACTGTGGGGGCATGGGCAACTGGTGCCTCCTGAGTCTGGGGGGGCACCTGCAGAAGCTGGCAGCAGGGCTGGGGCTGGCAGGCACCCGCAGATGCCGCTGGTGGCATTGGCAGCAGGGATGGCCCTCTCAGGGGGCTCATGTGGCCCCCTCCCCCCGCTGTGATTCCCCTACCAGTCGCCTATATGTGGGGGGAAGAAAAGAAATATTCAAGAGGTAGCAATGTTAGACGGGTGTCATCTGTTTGAACACTAGGCTCAGCTCTGAGTCTTTCGCTGGGCCTGGAGGTCTGGATGTGTACAGATAAGGAGCACTTGCTGTCATCAATGAGTATTCTTGTGAGATTCTGAGTTTTTAAGAAACAGCAGAGTTTTAAAATTACACTTGTGATTTTGAGTCCGGTGTTAGAAACAGCCAACTTGGTGAAAGGGAAGTAATTAGTGGCCGTAGCAAAATAAGAGCCGCAAAGAATGTAAGCCTGGTTTTGACCTGTTTTACTAATGATTAAACCCCCAGAAGGAAAGCTAATGTTTACTATTTAAGCCTTAGTTGAAATGCTAGAGGATTTCTGACTGTGAAAATGACAGTAAAGCAGGATGAAAGTTCATTTCCTAACTTATTTTTGTGTAGATCATAGAAAACCCCCCATCATTTTCCTCTGTCTGTATGCCTCTTTTTTGTTTGCTTGTTTCTTTTGGTTTCCCTTCGTTATTTCTCCTGCCACGGTTTTCCATCAACATTTACAGTTGTATCCGAAAATAATTGTCAAATCAGTGCCAGACCCCTTTGTTCCATCTAGTCCTGTATCCTAGCTGTTGCCCTGACTAGTTAACCATGCCAAGTGATGCTAAGAAAAAGGGCTAATAAACACACGGGTCCATACAGTTTGTGGCTGGTGCTTAATTTATGCCCCTGAAGCATGAGGATGGATATCCTTTAAAAACAAACATTATTGTATTTATTGTAACCAGTTCCGCTGTTTTTATCCATGTAAATGATGAATCTGTTTTGAACCAAACTATTTTTGTCTGTAATAGTGGGTATCACTTTGAAATGGTTGCAACCCTTAAAAAACTCTTGTAATTATGTAGCTTAAATATGTTACCTTTTAATTTAATCAAGAACCCCTTAGTTCAGTGGTGCTCAACATTTTTTCCTGATGGGCCAGATGGGCAGTGCCTGGTCAGACCACAGGCCAGTGGAGGGCAAGGGTCAGCCTGGCCTGAACCCAGCCCTGCAGGGGGTTAAGGGAGCTTCACTTGGCCCTTGTGGTGATGCGGTGGACTTGACTTGCCTCAGGTGGGGAGGAAGGGAGTTTGACCCAGCCCTGCAGGGGGAAAAGGAAGTGACTTGTCCCCAGGGGAGAAGGGAGCAAGTCTCACCCTGCAGTGCGGGGAGGAGAATGGGGCATAGGGCATGGTGTGGCCTGTCTTCAACCAGGTTGAGAGGCTTAGGGATTGAGAATTTGGCAGGGGGGAGAATTTGCCACCAAATTTCCTGACCCATGGGGACTCCGGTGGGCCAGATGTGATGCCTGCGTAGGCCACATTTGGCCAACAGGCCAGAGTTTGAGCACTGCAGCTCTAGTGCTTTTATTATTATATGAAGGGTTAAACAGGAACTTCTAAGTTCCTTCTGTTCACTCAGTGTTGATTAATTTATCTAAAAAAAAAGAGATAGTGAGCACATCAAGGCTGCATTCCAAAGCATTCAGAAGTTAGGCAATAACAGAATTAATTTATGTCTCTAATGCCTGTGAATCATGATGTGGTTTTCAAGTATATATGCCTTAAAAGCTCTCTGTCCTAGACTGAGATCCACATATTCCTGATTAGAGTTTCAGCAATATCACTGGAGTCCAGCTGAGATCCTGGGTATCATCTCGCAGACACTATTACAGTACAGGGGCATTAGACTGCATCTTTATTATGTTGAACTCGACAACAAAAAGTTCAATATGAGAACTAAGCAAAAAGTACATAGAAGTACCCGTTAAACAAAAAGGTCTTTGCTGTTTCTTTGAGACACATGGAACATATTGTCAAAAGTCAGGACCTAAATTCCACTTTCAAAACATGTTCACAAAGAGGTAAAAACATGGACCTTTTTGCATCACCTCACCTGGGGGAAGAACTAAAAAGAAGAAATTAAATGATTTACTTTTCACCTGCCTGCAATATGAGATAACTTTTGCATGTAGAGTCCCACTGGAAACTGTTGGGATTAACTGAGAGTTTCAGAAAACTCTGAGTTGAGGATCTAGGAAGTTAGCTGCTATATAGCAGCTATATCCATGGATGGTTTCAAGTTTGTAGCACAGTACTGTGTCATTTACATTTTTTAGAGTTTGCTCCATAAAGTAACTGTAAACTCTGCTTAACCAGTTCTGTAAAGCCAGGTTTATGACTGATCTGCAACACCAGAGTAGTTTTTTAAGTGCCTAGGTTGTACAAGAGAATCTGTGGCTTTATTTCTTGCAAAAGCATTACATAGCTACTTGGTAAATAATCATAATATAATTAACGGCTCATCCAGTGCCTATTGAAATTAATTGTGAGGTTTTCATTGGCCTTCAGCTATACTGATATCCAGCCGCTTATGTTTGCTGAAGGGTTGACTAATGATTTGAGAGTTAAAAGTTCATTCAAGTTCCAGTAATCATACAGGCAGCAGTATAGATAAGAGATTTTTGTAGAGTACAGCAGGATCTGTGTAAACAAAGACCAGCAGTTCACCAAACAGACCAAAACATTTCTTGCACTAACTTCAACATAATAGAAAAATGTGGAAGTTACAAGTGAAGCAAGATTTTGTTTTAGACCTGAAAATTCATGGGATTTAAGACTGAACTGGTTATCTGAAGTGGGGAGTCATTTCCTTATTTAGCTCCACACATTGTATTAAAAAAGAGAGAGATTCAGATCACTTCATGTGATTGTCACATTCTCAGGAATACACACTTAACAAGCATTTTCTGATAACTAGCTACCAACTAGACTTACTGGAAATTGAAGACTTGGGATATTCACCAGTATGGAATTTTTTTAAAGCCCTGCATATGTTACTCTTATCTTATAAAGCTTTATCAACAAGACTAGAGCTTTAAGCTACCTTTTGTCCCTCACAATGTAAAGATGCCACACCAGTCTCCTTAGGTATGACTTAAGTGGTTGTCTTTGATTAGGACTGAGAAAAACTTAAAAGAGTCCATTCCCTTCTACCACATCCAGAATTTTCTTCATATATGTGGTGAATTACATGACCAAGCAGAGAATTTTCATTTTCCAAAAGGCAGAGTATAAAAGGAGAAAATGGTCTTTGGCACCTTCAGAAATCTATGCCTTGGGAGTCAATTTCCTACATGTTTTGAGTACACAGGGTAAAGAATCACTAAATCAGATCACAGGTCTTAAGATTTTTCAGCATATGTTGACATATACACATGTTAATTTTACCCTAGCCAGCTTGGGTATCAATGGTTTTGCATAGCCCCAGCTATATAGGCTTCAGCCTAGGTTATACAAAATCCCAACCAAGACTCCAGGGGCATGTCCCCATGAGTGGGAATGTGCGTTTTCCCGGGTGCAAACAGCAGTGACATGCTATGTGCTGCTACTACTTGTCCCTGGGGAATGCCCGTGCATGCATGCTCTGGTGCATAGCACATTACTTCGGGTGGGCTGGGGAGTCTTGGGGCTAGCACCTGGGCTGGCCTCAGCAGCCTTACCTATGGTCCTTGTGGGGGGTCTCCAGGGGCTGCAGCTGTGGTGATCCGGCAACAGGGAGTCAGGCTGGCAGCCAGTGTGGCTCCAGCCATCCAGATTCCAGGTTTCGAGTGGCGCATGCTGCTGACATGTGCACTGCCCTGCTTTTTTTAGGTGTGGGTTTCTTGACATTGGGATCTCTGTTGTCAAAACCACCCGTGCTGTAAATTAGCACTGTGGGGAATGCCTGCATGTGTGGTGCAGGTGGTGTGCAGTGCTGCAGATGGGTCTGCCCAAGCTGCAGACCATGCTGTGACTGCTGCAAGGCCCCAGCTCCAGAGCAGCTCCCTGCCCAGTTGTGCACCCTGCCAGTGCTGCTAGGGCTGGTCTCCATGGAAACCTGGCCCCATACTGTCACATCGCTGTTGCTGGGATCTCCATGGAAACCAACCACAGTGACTTGAGCAAGGGCTGCTGGGAAATGGAATTTGCCACTGGCCTGATCCTGCCTGTGGGCTGTACTTTGCGCATCCTGTGCTACAGTATGGTCATGTGATAGCTGTTGGCATTAGTTTACAATGTAACCCTGTGCTTATACCCTAACAAGCCTATCATAGAAAATTAGATGTACGTCATGGAGGCTATCTGTATGTGATATTCAGTTTTGTTGCTGTACAAAGCCAGCCAGTTGCATCCCTGAATTCCTGATCATTTAATAGACTGGCCTTAACATAGTTTGAAGCATACAGGGGTTAGTTGCTCTTGCCACCAGAGAGCAATCACTAGCAAAGGACAAATGAAAGAGGTGCACTGATACATTGTTCCATATTGGATTCATATCAGCACTGATAAAAGGAAAATTGATGTTACTGGCATTTGGCTTTTTTGGCTCAGGTGGCCAGTAATGTTGCCCATAAATGCCGCATGCATATTCAGCTGCAGCATGCATGCAGCCAGGAGCTCAGCCTAGAAGCATGGACAGCATCATCCGGCTGGTAAGTCTGTGGTGGGGAAGGGGCATGGGGGGGCATTTTGAGGCCCCCACGGTGAGGGAGGGAGTGGGGCTGGGGTAGGGGCAGGCACTGCATAGCCAGGGTGGGGAGCCATGGCTTGTCCAGGGAGTGCGGGGCGGGGTGGGGGGGGCTCCCCCTGCTACATGCAT